TGTTTGTTGTGGCATTTGGCTAACGGTTCGAAGCCTTAAAATATAAACGAACTGGCAACCAAAGCCCCACGGGACTTGGAGTGGCGAACCACATAAGGCTCTGTTAGGTTAGGCGTGGCACTGAACCGGGCAGCGACAGCATTACTGCCTACCACCAAAGTTGGGTGGCGGTGATGGGGCTCGAACCTCGGACCGCAGGGTCGAATGTGCTCCGGTGATAGTGACTGAACTACTGTGACACCACCACCTTCCGATTTGAACGATCGATTGGAAAAAGCGTTCGTATTGTCATTCGTTTCAGTTTCAATTTTGAATGTGCATATTGTGAACAAAACGGAGTGCATTTAGTGAGCGCATTCCCGCGGAACACCATTCGCACCAATGGGATTGCGGAAGAAAGCGACTTGCACAACACTCTGTTATGTGAGGTGACCTTGTCAGACTAACACAGACACACACACACACACAGGTAATTTAGAGCGCAGCAAAATTCCTGCCAATTATTTCGTCTGAACAAAACAAAACAGAAGACCAAGGAGGTTATACTCTATACTACATCAGAAGATCTACCCGTATTGGAACAATAAACAATTCCGTGTATTTGTGCACAGCTGTGTTGTCCCTGGACTGTTCGCACACGCTGACCGATCGTGTTTTATTGGCAAACCGATCACATTCCTTCACCACAGGGGGAGGGGCGGGGCGATTGCACAACATGATTCTGTTAGATAGGTGCAAGATATGGATAAGAAATGTATGCATGGAGAAGAAAAGAGCAGGGAATGTGAGGAAAACGCCCGCCTTTATCTATCACCACACCAACAAGCAAGTCACGTGATCCGTGTGGTTGGCATGAGTTGATACACACACACACACACAAGGAGATGAACTGGACATTAGCGTTTATCTGTGCAACTAATGTGTTGGCCCAGGTCTGTGTGTGTGATTGCGAGTGCACTTGTGGCATATTCTGCCAAACAACCTGACAGGCAGAAGTAACAACCGACTGAAACTGGGTCTCGTGGTCTGTCTTCACACAGAATGAGCTAGACAAATACAGTTGATGATCGGAGAAACGGTCAGAGGTCCGATGATCCACCTCAGCCCCCACCACCACTAGGAGGTTTCTGGTCCGGAAAAAAATAAAGACTTGTTCATGGTCACAAATTCGCGAGGGGCGGGTGGGAGTGGCGGTGACAGAAATGCACCTAGAAGGTTCGGGCTCTTGCAAAATCAATCAAGCTGTTAATACTATGACTTGCCTGTGTGAGAAACAAGGGAATAGGGACGGAAATTCAACGATCTCACCTGAGCTCACGTAGTTAAACGACCTGTTCATCGGCCGCCGGACAGACGCGAACGGGGCCTGGGGATGCATCATACGATCAAAGAAAGACTTGGACAGTCGTTTTCACCGAGGTATGGGGGGATATAGTCTGTGCAACTCCCAAAGCCTCGTCTCAACATTATCTGTTGAAGTTCAAGTAATTTGTGAAAAAAAAAAACTGGGAGCGGATGTTAACTACTAACAAGGTCCGGTGTGGTAGTCTGTTGTGCATAGGGTGTGCGCATCATACGCATCCAAACCGACGAAGCAAACACATCCGAATTGATTGATATAAGGAATTCTCGACCTGAACATTCGCAATCTCGATAAGACTACAATGCATGCGTTCTCTATCTCTACGTTGACATTGACCGTGGAATATCACAAGTCGATGAATGGCTTCTACACGCAAATTCAAGGTCTGTCCGGCCGTTAATAAGCAGAAATCGTTGTACTGTGACATAATGAACGCCACCTTTCAACTTCAATGAAAAGTCATATATCCAAGCCAATGGATAATCCAATCCAGTGCACGTTGTTTGAGTCTGGCTCCGGTCACGTGTACAATTGTGCTTGCTATCGACATTCATCATTTAAGTGATTCAATTGGGGGAACTCATGATCATAATCAAATTTCTCATCGTCTAGTTTCAAAGCAGGACTAGAAATTAACACCTCGCATCGTGACGTAACTTTGAAGGTGTACAGTGCATGCTAGGTTGTCAACAGTGCTTTGTGTTACTACCTTTCATACAAACAAATAGACTGATGATGTAATCCGCGCACACCAGATTGCACAGATTTTCTTCAAGTTCAACCGTTTCAATGCCCCACGTTTTGCAAGTCAAGATCAGAGAGAGAGAGAGAAATCAGGTTTAGATAAGCCGAAACAGTTGAATTGCATCAGAAGTCTCTGATCGGGCTCCCTTACAGTTCAGACCGGATGGTACAACTGGTCGAGTTGCATCGTCGAACAAAAAGACCGAATGGTCGGAATGGTACACCGTTCGCCTAATGTGATGTTATGCATATGTGGAGGACAGCTTAAAGCCCGTCAAGACCCAGACCATTCGGTCCGGCTATATGGAACCGGGAATAGATCAACATTAACAACCGCGCCGCTACCAGCCACCACATATGGGACTCTTTCAGTTGAGGGATTTAGGAAGCTAGCGAATCCTGTGGCAGACGGAAAATTTAAATAAGTGAGTAAGTAATACGAGGAGAAACCTGATTGGTAAACTCAGGTTTCCGATACCGTTTCTACAGATAGTAAAATTTCCCTTCTAGTGCGGCTATTTCGAGCGCTGTTTTTGGTTACCCATTTGGTTGAACAATGGTGAAACGGAGTAGCCGGAAGAAGTCGAAAACTACGAGCGAAAACAAAGTGGAAACAGAGAAGTTCAAAGAGAATAAATAAACAAAAAATGGTATAGACGCCACAGCGTCACTGCTTATAACACTTTGCCATATATCACTCAGTATCCATAATCATCCGAACAGACAGACAATGTCATCGGCGTACTTTAAATCGCACGGTTTTCTCCAGCTGCTCATTCATTACCTATGTTTTGGAGAACACTTAGTGTGTTCTCCAGCATTTTGTCTACGACGAAATTGAACATAAATGGCGAAAGAGGGCACCCTCGACGAACGGCCTACTTAGCTCATTGTGTACCATCACTCGACCAAAGGTATGTGATGAAAATGACCTCAATAAGTAGATGTGCTTCTGCGGCTTTTCTTGTTGAAGCTATCATAGCTTCGTGGTCAACTGAGTCAAAGATTAGTAGTCTTGCAATCACTATTCACACGCGGCCGAATACCGTTGGGGAAGCAAGCTGTACTCTTCTATGGCAAGCCAATCAAAGTCATGTCCCTGTGGGGCTTTCACTGAAAGATTGAGCATCTTTATTATAAATTCGTAGGAAAACGGATTCCCATTGCTTATGTACAACTGTTTCCTTTTATGTTCTGAGATTAAAGCCAAGCGTTTCATGAAGTCCAAAACGAAAGTGATAACAACCCGTTCGGATCCGAAGCTTTGCGTACCGTTTGACGTCACTTCTCAGTTCATCAGGTGGAGTGATATCGACCGGTAGAAGTTGGCATGTAAAAGCAGAATGACGATGAGGGCCCGTTAAACTGTCATAAAATGTTTTGCCTATCGTTCCAGACGGAGTTGCTCAATATGAATCAGTGCGTTGTCGGACTGCTTTATTCGATCACTTCTAGCTTCCACGGATCCGCATGGCTTTGCAATCAGCCATTAACCATATCTCATACACTCAGATATGAACCGGTTCGTACACTTCCTCTAGGTTAGTTAGAAAACAGTGTTTTTGGTCAACTCTCCTGGGTGAACTCCCAGGTCCACCAACCCGGTTACAGCCCCGGGATATCGGCTATTCGTCCACTCACTTTTGTGGAGACTCACTTCCTCCACCACGAGAAAGTAGTGTGAGTAGGGCTTCCTCAGCTGATTGATAAGTTCCCCAAGTAGAGTAGAGTAAATAGTACGAGACGGAGAACAGTCATACTCGGGAGAATCGCTTCAACACGAACTGCGGACACAAACATCAATCTGCCAAACAGTTCGATGCGTCCTCGTCATACATGAGAATAAAATTTCTCAAAGCTCAGCAGTCGTTAAACAAGCCTGACAAAAAAACAGGATTGACTTCGATCCCCCCCCCCTCACGTGTGTGTGTGCCGATACCACGGAAGGAGGCACAAGTGGATGCGAACCAAGGGAAATCACGTGATGAGTCAAGCCGTGAAACGATAGCGATTCAACAATGGATAGAAGCATAAACAACGATTGACTGCCCCAGCATCCGCGATAGTTCGACTGAACGACAAAAAGATGATGCAGTCAATAATGCAGCGGGGGGGAGGGAGGGATGCAAGACTGTTG